AATGTTTCTAAGACCACAATTCTCAAGAACAATGTGAAGCAGGAGACACTGGTAACAACCAAAAACCAGCTAGGTAGAGGACAGAAGTGACTTTCTAATGCCAGAGATGACCGCTAACTTATCCAACAGTGCCTCATGGATCAGAGGATGACATCAAGTGACCCTCAAAAAGAATGGGAAACATAAAGTGGTGTGAAATGTACTGCTAGGACAAGTTTGTGTCAGACTCCTAGAAGCAGGTCCGAAGTCCCATAATGCAAGGCAGAAGCCCTTCATCAATGAGAAGCAGGGAAGAGCCACGCTACAGGTTACAAAAAATGTATATTTTACACAGATGCACTCCCATAAATGAGAAATTAATGCAACAAAAAATTTAGCTCTGGTCTTTTTATTTTTTCCAGAGCTGTATTTGTGATAAAACAATAAAATCTCAGTTTCAATATTTGATATGTTGGCTTTTGTTGTATTTTCAATTAAATGAAAAGAAATGGGTTTATATTCTGTTTTTACATTTTTACACGGCGTCCCAACTTTTTTGTAAATGGGTTTGTAAATAGAGGAGATAATGACATTGTAATGGAATCCGTCATACCTTGGACTGAACTGACAGAGTGGAGAAAAAGCAGCTGGCTTGATCTATGGCCCACCAAGGATTAAACTGGACACCACCATCCTGAAGGTTGTATACACAGCGCTGTCCCAAGGGGGTGCATGAGACACAGCTGAAAGAGAAAAAAGGCTCACTGACCATCCAGTTGTTTTTAAATAACTCATCAGCTGATGTCCTTAAACTAGTGGGATCACCATTCTAAGATATAGCAACTCACCTATATATACAGTACCTAAGTGGTTTCTCATCTGACATTCAAATGTGTACATTCATCCAAAAATTATGCTGGATTATACAATTGGATCATTTGACTTGAACTGTCAGATGATAAAAAACTATCCTTTGTTTTACTTCCCCCTGAAGTATAACTCTGCTGATATCAAGTTGTCATTTTTAACAACACGTGAGACATAAGACGATGTCCCCCACCCGATTTTATCCTTTTCCCAGGCATATTCCTGCATCAATGACTCACTATTCAAAAACCCTATGCAGGCGTTTATTGCTGCAGATTGCAAACCTTCACTTGTGTACGAGGATTTTTATGCTGTGTGATAAATCCAAGGTCATATGCGCGGTTGTGTGGCTTTGCTGTAATTTCCTTCATAATGGTTTCCAGCATTCTCATTAGCCACAGAATTACACAGGTTACAGGAATAATAATTATCTGAATCAATCACAGGATGACACAGTGACTTGGTGAATAGTACTGTTGTTGCACACCCCTAGGGTGGGGGGTTAAATCATGTGCCCACTGTGTGTGTGTGTGTGTGTGTAATTTGCACGTTTTCCCCGTGTCCATCCAGTTAGACTTAGTGGTGTGTCTAAGCGTATGTCTGAAATTGCAAACTTACATAGTAGCTACTAAATTTTGTTAGAAGCCTACATGAGAACATAATAAATTTATAAACGAGAGGAGACCATTCAGCCCATCAAGCTCATTTGGGGAGAACTTAACTAATAGCTCAGAGTTGTTAAAATCTTATCTAGCTCTGATTTAAAGGACCCCAGGGTTTTAGCTTGCGCTACACTAACAAGAAGACTATTCCATACTCTAACTACTCCCTGTGTAAAGAAGTACTTCCTCAAATTCATTTTAAAATGTTCTCCCACTAATTTCCACTTATGGCCACTAATGGCCTACTACTTGACTCTTTATGCAGTACGTACTTAACTATGTGTTTGAGAACCGTATGTATGCATTCGCACACACTGTTGATGCCATCTTGCAAATTGCCTAACCTGGATGTTTACCAATGATGTTGATCTCTCAATGAAAAGAACTATCAATGAAAAAAATACTTATTTGTGTCAACTAATGTAACTGGACATTATTTTCTATGTACATTTATACAGAAATGGCGCATCTTTACAAACAATTCTGAGCAAACAACATTCTTTACTGCTCCAGTGACCTTGTGCGATAGCGTAGCATTGATTGGTTGCACACTTAGGAATTTTGCATAATGTAGTATGCTATCCGAGTACCAGTCGCCTACTGTGTCATCCATACTGAGGGTTCTGATATACTGCTCATGTCTCATATTGTATTTTGGCTCCTAGATAATAAACAAATATGCGATTTCAGACACACCCTAATGGCGCTTTTCCACTGGCATACAGGAACCGACTCATTCTGCGAAGAGAGACTATTTACGGCGCAATTGCGGCTTGCTTTGGTTTTCCACTGCAGAAGGGTTGGCTTAGTTAAGGCACTGCCGGGTATGGAGAGCGACAGAGACGTAAAACATCATAATTTACTATGTGCATTTTTTTTAAGTCGTGTGCTAATTTCCACTATCATGTCTTTGAGAATCACTGTGTTATGATTAGAATCAAACGTGGGTGGAATTAGCATTTATTTGCGTAATCTGCATTATGAATTAGTTCCGTTCAGATGTTATATAGTACTTTCTAAGTAGGAGATTGGAACTGTTCAAGTTACAAGTTATCTGGAATGTATTAATACATCGCGATGTGTGAAGCTATTAGTAATTAATCATATAGCCTATAGAATATGCCATTACTTTCCTTCAGATATTCCATATATATCGACGCAGATCACTGGCATCTCCATGCTTTCAACCAAACAGATGATGGTGATGCAACTAGCTCGGGTTGGTCACACTTTCTGGTAGAGCTGTGTCAGCACAGGTACAGGTTGAGTATGGCCCAGGTATGGCTTGCAGACTTTGCAATGGAAAACCATCAGTTTTGGTACGGCTCGGTTCCTGGTGACAGTGGAAAAGCACCATAAGTTTCCCACAGTCTATGATTGTGTGTGTGTGTCTGGGGGAGGCAGGGTAGTGCATTCCAAAATGTGATAAAGACCTGTTACTTTGACCTTGTGGGAACATTTTTCCCCACAAGAGGAAATTCAGTTTTATAAAAATCTTTTACTGCAAGTCTTGAGTTTTAAACTAAAAACTAAAAATTTTAAACTAAAAATGCAAAAACACTTGTATTTTATTTGTTTACTTGTAGTTAATGTTAGGGCTGGGAAGGGGTTAAGGTTGTCATTGGTTGGATGAGGATTTTTCCCATAGAAATGAATGGACAGTCCCCACAAAGATATGATTACATGTTGGACTGGCATCCCATTCAGGATGTCCCCCAGCTTTGTACCCAGTGCTGTCTAGGTCAGTCTTCATGTGGCCCCACAAATCTTGATTACAATAAGCACTTAGAAGATGGATGGATGAATCAATCACATGATTCTTACTGAAGATGATTCACAGAAAAGGTTAAGACTTCTGTAATGAAAGACCTTGCCTACTGTACTTATTGAGTATTTAATTTCTTTTGCAAAGAGATACTTGCTGTCTTTTTAACGTTACAGAAACTAAAATGGGATCTTAGCTTAGATACTAGTATATAGAATGTATTGCTAAAGAAAACCTCAAGTCATTAATTCTGTGAGCTAACAAAGAAAAGCAGAAATGATTGATGGCTCTAATCTATCACTATATGAAAACAAATAAATGCCACTAACAGTTGTGTCTCTGCTCAAGCTCACATTTTTCAGCTCTTTGGTCATGGGTCACATGTATCCTACATTAAAAGCATCCCAAAATGCCCACATGTGTCAGGCATTTTCCCTTCATTTTAGCTGCATAACAGATAACTATAGAATAGGGCATGTTATAAACAAGTGCTCAAAACCATTCATTCATACAAAACATATAATAATAATAATAATAATTTTTATTATTATTATTTACCTGCTTATATTTGTATGATAACAATATTCAGTAAACACAGAAGAATGTAAGGTCTAGTAAAATATTCTTTAGGATATGGCAGTACTGTACTCTGAAAGAAGAAATATAGGAATATTTCAATTCAGTAAAACTAAACTAAAAAGAAAAACTTTTGTCTTGTCAATGAGTGTGACTCATCTGATCCATTTAGTATGCTTTATCAGCTTTCACTGAAATACATCATAGTATTTTACTCCTATATCTTGGAGAACTTTCATTTAGTGAAAATTGCTTTATCCTATGATAACAGAAAATCCTTGTCTGCAAATTCTTTGCTGACAAATACCTGCCTTTGTTTGAATGCCTGAGCAAAGGGATCAGCCCCCATGCATGTACTTCATTAATCCCAATGAGTCATATGCTCCTGGTCTATCACAGGGGTTTACGCTTGGGAGAGCAAATTCACATTTGGGTTTAGGGTTTTCAAATAAATGATGGCGCAGTATTTCAATCATTACTTGTTTTGTGGTAAAATCTCAATCTTTCTAGACCATGATTTGCCTTTAATTCAGTTAAGTCAAGCTTTACCTTTTCCTGAAGTATATGTGCCTGGCTTCCAATACTGACAAGGTGCACAGGATTCTGATGACTCATTTTTGGAAAGGCTGTAAAAACCTGAGCCCTAGGCTGATTATGTCAAAGGACAATGATTGACAAAAACATCATTAATATGGCAGGATGAAATTATTATGGATCACAAAACAGCACTGAAACAACCAAATAGACTGTAATTAGTTGCTCCCCATTCATCTCCTTCCTCAGTCCACTGAAATGAACTGTTTAGCCATAAACGGCATTATGTAAACACTGGATGCATGATTTGGAAATTATATATTGTATTCACACACACACACACACACACACACATTTTTAACCACTGTGCATCATGAAATCAAACAGTGGATCATCTAGACCGGGGTGGCCAGTCATTTCTGCAAAGGGCCAGTGTTATTGATAATAACAATCATAATAATAATGATGGTAATAATAATAATAATAGCAAATCCACAACAACAACAACAACAATAATAATAATTATTATTATTATCATTTAAAAGAGGCTTGTGCTTGGCCGGAACCATTGTGAATGTCTCATAACACAGATTCAAAAGGCGGAACTTGTGTCAGGAGGTGCCAATTTCCACTCCGGACTTCAACGAAGCAGCGCCAGGAGGGGGACACGAAGTAGTGACGCGCCGGCGATAGCGAAAGCGCACGAAGAGCATGAGGCTCCTGAAGCTTATTTGGCCGGTGTTGAAGGTCTATTTAGTCGGCCTGAAAGTCCTGCTCTACCAGATTTTCAACAAACCTTTCACTTTACCAGGTTAGGACTAAGTACTATTTTTTAGCGCCGGGCTATGACATGCACCATAGAGTTGACGTGACAAGTACCTCGGTTATGTAGTGTCAGTGTCACTGTATATGGAAGCAGTTTTGTAAATAGCCCTATAATTTCAGCCAAGTGGTTTGTCAAAACTGTGTACTACTACGTTACGTTTATCAACAGTATAGGCTATGAAAAGAAACGTTAACGTGACGCAATCGGGGGATGTGAAATAAGGTCTGGTCCAGTGAAATAATTGATACATGGTTTCAGCTTATTCTCCGTGTATACTCTCCAGCTGCCGTTTCCCCTCTCTCTGTTTAATTAGATGTTGCTAGCCAAATTGGGCAGCACAGGACTGCCGATTATGGGGCACTTAAGTAACTAACATGAAGGAAAAAAACGTGAAGGATGTGATTATGAACTGGCTAGATCCTTTTAATAAACTGAATGATCGACAAAAACTGCTTCCTTTTGTACATTTTAACAGATGCATCTACACCACGTAGTTTAATTTATGTCTAAAAACCCGTGGATTTGATGTACCGAGCATATATGTATGTTGCTGTTTAATTTTGCAAGAAAGTGTGGGACTTAACATGAAGATTCAGTAGCACCCACTATATCTCAGTACATCAGTTATCAAAAGTAACCGCGCTGAAGAACTTGATTTTTTTAAATATAAACCCAATAGCCAATGTTCTAAATTCTAAGATGAAAAGTATGCTTATATTTGTAGTAGTTGGGAAAAATGACTTTCGTGCGATCAGCATGTATTTCAGAAAACAACTTTTCTATTTTAAGTATATTCATGCATTAGTTTTGTGATGCCAATTTGTTAGATACCCTTATTTTAATCCAGATACTTGTCACATATTTGAGTAGTTTTGTTTTTTTGCTTTAGCTCTTGGTTTGTTCCTTTTTTGCAAGAAAGAACCCTTTCACCCAAATATTTTTCCAGCCATGTGAACCATGTGATCTATGTGCAGTATTTATGTTCCCCTTCTTTTTCTTTCAGTGCTCTGTTTGGTAATATATGTATAATTGGATAGAAATGTTCAGATTTCTATCTAGACTTGTGCTCAATAAAAATTTGGTTGTTGAAGTAGAGTTAGAGCAATGTGATTTAATCTTTATTAAGCAGAAAATATATTTCTGTTTTTCTAAATATTCATGTTTACAAAATGGGGGATTCTTTTTTCTGTCCAGAAAAATAATGCTTAGTATGTATCCATTTTCCCACAAAATGTCACTGGAAGACCATCGCTCTGTTTGAGGTTAGGCTGGATGTCTTTATGATGGGCTGTGATCAGTTTACAGTGGGATTTTGTCACCTTCCTCGTGACTAATAAGTTGTCATTCTTGATAAGCTTATAAAGTGGATGGGGAATGTAATAGGGAAATGTCTAGGGGGGGGAAAGCTTCTTGATATTATGAAGCTAATATTAGATTGTGAAGCAGAGGATTCCACACATTTTCCAAATGTGAATTTCACAAAAATATTACCAAGCAATGTACTACCTGTCAGTTTTCTACTTGTGTGCTGTCATTTTTTATTAGCTTTTTAGTATCCTGCTGGTTCTAATGCAAGTCTTGCTTTATCTGTAATTCAGTAGAGCAGAAAATGAATAGAGCAGTTATGTATATATCAGTGAACTGCTGTTTTGTTTTTTATTACTACATTCTGTGAAATATTGTCTCAATCTAGTGTTATCCCATTAGTGCTAAAGTTTATGGTAAATAAGGTGGAAATGCTTACATTTTTGGATCAACATTGGAAAAGGCTTTTGAAAAACCTAGATAAATAAAAATTCTGCATGTTTGGTTTTAAAATTCACATTCTCTTTTGACTTTGGTAGGTACTCTGATTGAAGGTTCATAAAGTCATCAGAGATAATGGAGAGTAAGGGTACAGAGGGTTCCCCATCAGACCTCAATCTGGTCGCTCATCCTAGAGCCAAAAGCAAGGTTTGGAAGTACTTTGGGTTTGACACTGATGCTGATGGATGTATACTGCACTGGAAGAAAATATACTGCAGAATATGTATGGCCCAAATAGCATATTCAGGGAACACCTCTAATCTTTCATACCACTTGGAGAAAAATCACCCAGAAGAATTTTGTGAGTTTGTGAAGAGTAACACGGAACAGATGAGGGAAGCATTTGCTACAGCTTACTCCAAATTAAAACCTGAATCCTCACAGCAGTTTTCCCAAGAGTCGTTGTCTGTGAAGCAGACTTGTGGATATGAGAACAGAAAGCACAGTGACCTGATTTCTGCAATCATCAGCTTCATCTGTGAAGGCATGTACCCAGTGTCCATTGTAGAAGAGCCCTCGTTTATATCGCTTTTAAAAACCGCAGACCCGAGGTTTGTGCCCCCCAGCAAAATTGAACTGATGGCAAAGGCGATTCCTCAAAAGTACTACCTAGTTCGAGAAAGCATGTTCAAAGAGCTTGCTGAAGTGGTGTGGTGTGGCATCTCCACAGACCTGTGGAGAAGCCAAGCCCACAACAGAATATACATCTCCCTTTCTTCACACTATTTGAAAACCTGTGGGTCTAACAGCCTCACCCTGGCAATCAGGTGCTTGAAAACGTTCGAAGTGCCAGAGGACAACACAGCTGAAAATATCACCCGTGCGTTATATGAAGCCTTTGTAGAATGGGGAATTAACCCCAAAATCTATGGTGCAACTACCAATAGCTCCTCCGATATTGTGAAAGCATGTTCACTTCTCGATCTGTCTGTACAGATGCCTTGCTTTGGACATACAGTCAATGAAGGAATAAGACAAGCATTTGAGATGCCGAAGCTGAACATGTTTTTGGGCCGCTGTCGCAAGATGGTCGAGTACTTCCAGCAGTCCATGGTAGCCATGTACCTGTTGCGAGAGAAGCAGAAGCAACAAGCTTTAACTCAGTGTATGCTCATCAGTGACAGAGTCACCTCTTGGGTCAGTACCCTGGCTATGCTTCAACGGCTAAAAGAACAGCAGTTTGTTATTGCCTCAGTCCTCATGGAAGACAGTAACAATCACCATTTAATGTTGGAGGCCACGGAGTGGAGCATAGTGGAGGGCCTGGTTGATCTGCTGCTGCCTTTCCGATTGGTGGCCGACATGATGACCTCATGCCGGTACCCTACCATTAGCATGGTGAAACCAATCTTGCACATGTTGCTCAACACAACCCTTAAAGTGAAAGAAAGTGACCTCAAGGAGGTCGGCATGGTGAAGGAGGTGATTGCTAAAGTTCTGTCCACCACCTTTCAGCAGACACCTGAGATCGACATGTTTCTGAACGTTGCCACATTTTTAGATCCCAGGTACAAGAAGCTTCCATTTCTCTCCCCCTTTGAACGCTCACAAGTGGAAACCCGAGTGATCGAAGAGGGCAAAGCGCTCCTGGAGAAACGTAAGGAGGACTACTCTAAATCGGAGGAGTCATTGCAGTTCTCCGAAGAACCGCCGAGCAAGAGGCAGGTTATGGAAACCACACCTTCCACCAGTAATGCCAGCAACCTTTTGGCCGTCATCTTCTGCCAGCCGGGGAGCGATGAGAATCAAGAAGAGCAGCACGCCCAGGTCTTGGAGGAGCTAAGCAATTTCAAATCGCAGAAGGTACTGGGTCTTAACGAGGACCCTCTCCGTTGGTGGTCGGACCGCTTGGCTCTGTTTCCCACCCTCCCTAAAGTGCTTCAGAAGTACTGGTGCATCTCTGCCACCAGTGTCCTGCCACACAGGCTCTTTAGCTCATCAGGCAGTGTTCTCGATGGGAAGCGGAACCGGCTGGCCCCAGCCCATGTTGACCAGCAGGTCTTCTTGTATGAGAACATGCGAAACTGCTTTGAAGCTGAGCCAACAGAGGAGGATGAGGGAGAATGGGGCGTAGAACAGGACCTGGTGCCTGGGGTAGGTGATGGGCTATCTGTGTAGGCCAAAGACATGGTTACTGTAAGGATGTCTCCATATGGCCAGGGACCAAAAGGGGTCGTCCAATTATAGACCTTTACAATTTACATATGACAGTTATGTCTTGGGTCCATACTCTGGCTATGCTTCAATACCTGAACAAACAGCAGTTCATTTATGGGTTCTTTTCATTTGCATTCTTTTAACAAAGATTGCGTAACCTTCCTATGGTGTTCGGGTCAGCACCGACTCGTTTGTAACTTTTAAACACATACATTTGTTTACTGCATCAAGGCTTTTTGACTTTGTCGCGAACCTCTATTTAAACAAAATAAAAATAAATAAATAAAATCACTAAATTATAAATGCTCTGGTCAACCATTATAACAGCTCTGGTGTTGGGGTCGACACCGACCCCTTTTTAAGTTTAAAATGCATTAAAGCCCCACATAAATTTGTGTACTGGAAAATCAGGAAAATCTATAAAAAAAAAATAAAAAAAAATCACTAGGCAAGGCATGCCCAGACTTGTAAGGCAAGATAAGACCAATTCAGTATATTTATGTAATTCACTTGAGGTTTACTTTACCATTATTTTTTTATTGAAAATGAGAGGTATGCTGTCAAACGAAAGGTCCAGAAAGAAACACCAAAAATATTAAAACCAATCTTTTCATGGATAAGGAAGCTTAACAAGGTAACCAAGAGGTAAGAAACAAATTGGATGATAAATAATTGTTTTGAGGGTATTTTATGGCTGATTTAAGACACGGGTCGGCACCGACCCGTCTAACATAAGAGATGCGTACAGAAAGCTGACACAGGAGGAAGATTAAGCTTTCATACCAAATGTACCTACATTAAAAGGCATCTGCATTTTTAAAAAAAATGAACATCTGTCATTGCTCTGATTATAGTTCCATAGTATAGCAATTTTATTATCGCTGAGCACATGTGGTCTAATTTTCCTTGCTCTTTTCTTGTAATAGAAAACGCACAAAAGTTTCAAACAATTTAATGCGTTTGGCGCATAGGAACAAATGTTTTATTCTGAATTCAAATGTAGGTCAATATTTAGCAACTCAACTTGAGTATTAGTTGTCTTAAAGGGTTTAATCACTTGAAATATTGACATTCATTACTTGTTTTCAGTTATGCATCGTGGCCTATGGTGAATATAGATGTGGTTGTAAGTGTCATGGATCAAGTTTTCTTATGTACATTTATTCTTACATAGTTCTTGAGTTGTGTAAATCCTGTGAAATGTTTGACATGGACATTTAGTAACTCTGTTTTTCCCAATAATTCCTCATGTATGTAAATACAATGTGCGTTTTATTACTGATATGTTTTATTTGGTTCAGCCGAACTGAATGTAAATACACTTGGTCATAGAGTACATTTTCAACAATGACTAGCAATTTTACCGTTATTTACCTTTGGTTTCTTTTAGGTTGCCATAGTTACCTTACTGGTAGGATGTAAATAAATGTTTTAAACATTTAACTTTAGTGTCGCTGTCATTTCAGCAGTTGATTATGATGTAGTGTACATAAACCATAAGGTTAATGCACTAAATTATAGCCTGCGATCAGGCTGACGTGCCTTGAATGTTAAATTTTAATCCGAATTGAAGTTGCTTCTTAAGGGAAACACTCACTGTGAATTTGCCCCAGTATTTTTAGCTGTTTTGAAAAATGTAATTTAATTGTCTTAGAAGTGAATGCAGATCTCAACCATTATCGTTATAATGAACTGTTATTTGTAATCAGACAGCATTTAATTGGAGGAGTGGGGTTGAGTTGCACTTTGAAATATCTATATCTTGCCATATAAAATGCTCCTAGTAAAATTTTACCCTCTATGAAAGGACGACTCGGGCATCAACAACTGTTTCTGAGACTTGCTGCTTGTTTTGTGACCCATAATCGTCAGTCACTTTTAAGTGCTAGTTTCTTGCACAGATGTCTGGGTATTTGATGTGTGTTGAATCCTGCTCATACCGAATCACCACATAATGTAGTTTAGCTAAATCATCCCCTGTGACTAAACAGTCTTTTAAGGTGCAGCAGCACCTGCATCTATAGAAAAGAGTATTCAATGCCAGTGGTCTGGATTTATGTCATTCAGCATATTATACTTCTTGCTTTTTCTTATATGACAAATGCTTTTTTTATGGGTCAGTGTCTTTTACTGCTATTTTGCATATGAATACTTTTAGGCACATTTTAATTTTAATTCCCTTTGCGTTCTGTTTCAGACAGTTCATTGTTAGATGAGACCCCTTCTTACATGCCTTAAAATAATCAGACTAGGCTGTAGGCTTGAAAAGTACCTAAGACTGTATGTGAATGTTTTTGCACCATATTAAAATTGGCCTCAAAACTTGGATTTAATGCTATATTACTACTAAACCTGTTAATTTATGAAGTTATTGACCTGTGATGTTTTATCCATTGTGTTTGTTGATTGTTATTTAACAAACAAGCATGTTTGGTTATAAACTATTTCACTCCTGTTTTATTTAATGATTTCATGTCATGTCTGATTTTACTTGCACAATATTTCTCCATTTCTTGCTTTTCCTATTGGTACTGCCTTTGCACTGGTTTTCCTTAAGTTCGGTTCAACTGAGGACATGTTGGATTTAGTTCATCTGTAATAATCAGATTTCTCAGCCAGGACTGTGTCCTCTTAGTGAGCTTTTCATTATATCACTCTAAATCCATATAATCTCTGTGTGTATTTTACATGTAAAAATGTTGCCCCAGTGCCAGGCAAAATGAAGGTTATATGTCTTTGTTTTGATATGTTCTGAAACAGGAATAAAATCAATGCAACTCTCTGCTTCATTATAAATGTTGTGGAAATTAATTTGTCTTGCATTTAGTAAAATTACTGTAACAACTGAAATTTATCATTTCATTCCTCCTGAAATTTGATGTTTAGTTGAGGAAGAAAAGAATGTGACTCATAAAGACCAATTTTTTTCTGGAGTGGGGTTGTGATATAGATGTGGGAGCGTCTCTCCAGTCATCACTAATTCATTTGCTTATATTACGTTTAAATCCCATTATAGTGGACTCGCTTATAATGCAATATCGTCTATAACAGACAAGGTCCGCTGGTCCCAGCCGTGCGCCTTTAAGAACATGCAGAAAAAGCATCGGATATAGCGAACTCTCATATAACGGAATTTCGCTTATAACGGACAAACAATTTGGTCCCCAGGGCCGCTTTTAGCTGTAGTTTTGTTTGGAATATCCAGTGCAGATACGTAGTCGGGATTATTAATAGTCACGCATCTGCTCAGGTAAAGTTGGATTACTACATGTACAATATAATAATCTGTACCACAAGTGTGTCTGCTGAGGTGTGGCATGAGTAAATGGTGTCCTGTAGTTGTGTTCTGGGCATACAGCAACTCTGGATATAACGGACTGTTTTGCCAGGTCCCTTGAAGTCCGTTTTAACGGGATTTTACCGTATGTCCCAAGTAGCTGACTGTATCGGTCAAACTCCGAACTAGGACCTCATGACAGTAATGCAAAGTGTGATGGCTTAAATGTATGTGAATGGATTTGAAATCATAAGTGTGACTTAATGGCAGGAATCGATAAGTTCTCCAAGATCAGCACTGATAATGTCATGTTGAGTAAATAAAATGAGGTCAAAAATTGACTGGAAGACTATCCTTTCATAAGTAGTCACCCCAGAGGGATGCTGGGGCCCAGCAAACAGGCAGTAGCTGAGCACACCGCCAACGACATGTTTTTCTGTTGTCATTGGGATTAAAGGAGCAATGTTAGATGTCTCTGTTTCTCCTCTGCCTTGCACAGTTTTTCCCAAACAAAATGGAAGGGTTGCCATAGTGACGGGGGGTGCCAAAGGAATGGGATATGAGACGGCGAGATGTCTGACGAGCCTCGGAATGCATGTCGTAATAGGTATGGTATACACCCGCTCACTGCGACTGCCTTCTGCCGCTGACCTGCTGAGATTTGGGTCGCTTTTACAGATTTCTTTGTTTGTTCATCTATAACTAAAGCAGACTTTGTCATTTTAAATATGTGATCTTTCTCTTGAATCTTCAAAATCATCTGACTTTCCCATCTCCCTTGGGGGAAAACACAATAGCAGGTATAAATATTTAAATTTGAGTTCCTGACCGCATATTACAAAAAAAAATTCTAGGGGGTAGTTAGTGACAAAATTCCTGAAGTTGGTTTCCCCTGATGAGTCGTTGGAAGACTCAAAGTCCATTTTATTAATCATAGTCTCACTGCTACTGAAAGCGACAGGAGGCTTCAACAACAATTCTGTCTCCAGAAATCAGGCATGTTTTTTCCATTAATTTTTATTAGAGGAGCTCCAATTAACCAATTCTATAAAAGTATTTAAATGTTCTTTGTTAATTTTTTTGTGGGCTTTCATAATGCTGATCATTATTGCATCCAGGTCATTGCCCCAAAGTTTGGATCTAGTCATTCTGTCCTCAGTAGTTTAAATGTCATGTGACGTTAAGCCCCCACAATAGAATAATCCGTCCAAGTCTCACAGAATTTCTTTAACGAGAATCTAATCGGGCAACGTGACCAGGATCTAAAAATGTCAGCTGAGGATTTTACTGTGCGGCAGTCGTACTTTGCAGAATTCCCGTTAAATCGTTTTATTTACTAGCCAATAAGGGTTCCATTCATATTTATGACCCACTGAAATTTTCTCTCAAAAAATTTTGAGCCCATTGTCCTTTGATGTTTACAAAGCATCTGTTAAAGTGTGTGTGATGCTTTATTGGTTTTTTTTTTTCTCATTTTACTTTTTATTTTTTAACCTTCAGGCTGTTGTGACCCCCATCTCCACATTAGCATGCTGGTGTATTGAGGCCTTTCTAATCTAGTCAGATGTCCTCCATCTCCAGGACCTTTGCACTGCTGTGGTGCTTTTCATAGAAAATGCAGCGCAAAAGGCCACCAGTCAGACGGATCTGTTAGTGAAGGGAAACTCAGCGGGCTGTGTCCTCTTTAAACTGCTTTCCTGTTTGACATTAGCTTTGAACGCGGTGTGTGAGAATGCCCGTATGCCTTTTCCAACACCATAAATCTTTCGTATGACAGCTATGAACATTAACACTATTTGAATGCTTTTGAAATGTATATTGAATCTTTGAAACCTGTGAAGGGTTTCATTCAGTTCTGGAAATACGCTGAAGCGTACAATCATTTGTTATTAACTCTGCCATTCAAACCTAGTTCAAATAATGACTTAATAAGCCTATATACCTACTCAGAGTTGAATATTAATAGTGGGCAAATCATTTCCTAGGGGCACGTTTAAGCTATTGGTGCAGTTTCCTGTATTTTTCTGCATTTTCAGCTCTGACTGGTACCTCCTGCCGAAGTGGCTCTTTACGATATGAGAGGGCTCCCTGTCTGTAGCTTTTCTTGCTGTCAGAAGGATTTTCGGCTGCCTGCGCATTGCTCTGCTGTAAACCTCGTCTTTCCTCTAGCTGGGAACTCAGAAGAAGAGGGTCTGGCAGCTGTGAAGAAAATCCAAGAGGAGGATGATGAGAGGAAAGGTAATTTTAGAGACTGGGGTAATGAGGTAGACATTTCACCAGTTTGTTTATTCATTTTTTTATTATTTTTTTTCTTTGGATCCTTTATTTCTTCATTCTACCTTGAACCCAATAAGTCAGTGTTTCTCACCTGGTCCTTAGGGACCCCCTGACAGATCCTGTTTTTGCTCCTTATTTGGACTGTCTGGCAGGGGGCAGGGAGGGAGCAAAAACGTGTCCTGTCTGTGGGTCCTGGCGGTTGAGAAACACTCATCTAATCCATTTTGTCTTTTCCATGTATTTGATTCTAAGGGACAGAGTCTTCAGGATCTGATACGTGTATCTTAATTTTATAAATTGGCAACTCTAATTATCTACCGTTAAAAAATTTAGTGAGGTTACTTTGACTGTCTTCTGACAAAGTTACAACTTCAACAGTCATTTAAAACCTGTTTAAAATGATGACTTTTAAGTTGTGACGCCTATGGAGAACTGTGATTCTTGTCATTGAAACCACTTGCAAGCAGGTATTTTCTGTCTTTTGGCACAAAGGCCTTTTGAACTGAATTTATTTTAAAATGTGAATTTGCTGTTAGTGAAAAGACCTTCACATTGAATGTCCCATGATTTTTATAACTTCAGTTAAAATCTAAAATTATGGTCTAATTCAAAGAACACCCATTTCTCTAGAAAGAAAACTGACTTTTCTTTTGAACATGGTGAACAGGCCATAGTTATGGTGACCAGATAATCTGTCAGGAAAGAAACACTTTGAGATATTTCAGGTTTACAAACTACTTGGAAATTGAAAGGCTCCTGTGCTTGACTAAACAGTTATGTTCTTCTGTCTTGACTGGCTCATTTCCTTGATTGAAAGACTCATCCAGCTGTTTCACATTAACATTCGTGGCACATGCATGACTATAGGAACCTGACCAAGCAGCCCACAGCAAGATCTCAGTGTTTAAGTGAAATGGTAGTTTACGAATCCTGTCCCAACTTAGTGTCCTCCCTGACAGGGATTATCTGGTCACCTAAGCCATAGTCAGCAGAGTGAGGGTCAGGGTGCAGAGGTCTGACCTTTGTTTGCATCTCCCAACAAAAGCAGACGTTTGAAGACTTTAGGCAGAGTGAGAACTTCTAAGTCTCTTTCTAAGTCCTTTTTGTTCATATCAGACTGCGAAATGACAGTAACTCTTCGTGTTTTGTGGAACTTATCCTGAATTTCACTGGACTTCTACATTCTATCAATCTTATTATATCAAAAAGTTTTATTTTAAAGCAGTCAAACACACAATTGTGGTGTATTGTGGTACTGAATAATACAAATTAAACATTATAATACTGTATATGAAGACCTTTATGTCAAAGATTTTATGAGGTTAAGAAAAGAGGCTTGATGTGGCCCCAGAACTGGCTTCCTTGCCATGTATATAGTATTCATATGCTGCATGCACAGCACCTTCTGTTCCTTTATGAAGTGTCCAGGTTCTGTTCCTTTATGAGGTGTCCAGGTTCTGTTCCTTTACGAGGTGTCCAGGTTCTGTTCCTTTATGAGGTGTCCAGGTTCTGTTCCTTTATGAGGTGTCCAGGTTCTGTTCCTTTACAAGGTGTCCAGGGCCTAACTGCACTTGGCGACAGAAAGCCGCTGTCCTTTTCTATTACGTATTATCTTGAAATCACTTCATCAGGGACTAATAACGACTGATTGAATGAGGCCAACACATCAAGATAAATAAAAACACGCTGTCAAAACATTTGCGCTGTAAAAAGTGTTGCAGACAACCTTTGCTCTAGGCCTGTGCTTCTGCACATGTATTTACTGAATGTTCCCTGAGTAGAACATTCCTCATGCATTAAATATGTTTAATATACTTATCTCCCCATGGTCGGTTACTTAGTATCTTCTGCATACTCTTTGGTGTGAGATAAGAAGAAGAAAGAAGAATAGATGTAAGGTAGGCTAAGATTCTGTATAAATAAAACATTTGTCTGTTATTTCTTGTGGCAACAGCATAATTGTTTTAGGTCTGCCGCCCTCCTGTCAACTCAACCTATTGAAATTCATATATTCATGGCAAAGTATATTGCTTCTATATTTTAGTATCAACAGCTGTTACATGAGGCTACTATTGTGGTACGATTCGAAGATCGTAGGTCAGCTATAGCTCAGCCTGCGTTGGTCGAAAGTGAATATGCTTGATTTAAAATGCCATAGGTGGAAACCCCCCCCCCCCCCCGTTCCACACCGTTAACCTCGTACTCTCTGTACCCTGCGAAGTAACTCATTACGAGACAAGAATGTGTGAAACCAATGAGCCCGGTAATAAACCTCGGTCTCGCTGGCGGGAGGAAGCACAGGCCGCTCGTAATCTCTCCGGCGCTACGCCCACTGACAGAAGCTGTGAAATGATTTCCTCCTAATAAGACGTCAGCCTAGGAGTGGGCCAGCTTTAGCCAGCTGACTCTTGTGCATTAATTGGTCAGTGGAAAAAGCACTGGCCGCAATGTTCTGGCCGAGTCATTTCACTGCTGAGTCTTGTACTGCAACCTTTCTGTCTCCAACCTTTTTTGCATCACGGACCGGTTTCATGTAACACAATTTACCAGGGACTGTCCATCACGTGTGCATAATAAAGCATACTTAATACGACTTGTCATTACGCAGAATCTATGGCAGCCCTGAGCTTGTTTCCCTGCATAGTGACGGTCCCATCTACAGGTGATGGGAGACAATGACACCTGAAGTGTGTTCCTTATGCTCAGTCTACTATGTTATTTCATTTTGGTTGCTGTCACTGCAGAAAACACCGCTCACAAAGATAGGACGTTGGAAATTGAAGCAGGGTTTTCTGGGGTTTTGTGGCGATCTCAAGAAATTCCACCTTGATTTTAATCCTGAAGGTCAGCAGAGTTGGAGTTCTGTCAAACGTGCTTTTAAAGCCGCCATCATTTGTAATCTCAAGCAGTTGATCTTCTTCCAGCACTGACAAAGTCATTTCACCTGGCATGTTCACAAATAGGTCACGGATCCATTCCTTCGCGGTTCTTGGGTCTTTTGTGGTTGGGAAGTAACATTCAAACTTTTTTAAAAACAAAGATAGGTGATCATCCGCCAGCTGGGAGAATGAAGGTCCAGGCTCCGCCTCTTCCAAGATCCCTGCTAATGTTTGAAACTTGTCAGATATCTCTGTTCACTCACCGTCTCCACAGTTCCAGTCTGGCTTTGACAGTTGTTTTTCCCTGAAGTGACAGATTTCTGTTCGTTTGGACAGGGTGAATTTGTCACACAAGTAAACGAGTTTTGCAGTCCATTCCGTGTTTCTGAAATGTGCAGCCAACAGTGACACTCTGCCGGTGATCTACCTTTAGAAACCATCTAACTTCTGTGTATAAGATGCAAAGCTGATGTTTGAGCTGTTCAAACAGCTGTGAGTCAAGGGCTTGTACTTGTATTTTAATGTGGTTAATGGCTTTAATGACATCATTCAGTGAAACCAGAAAGTTATGCTACTGTATGCTCTTTATTCCAGTTAATTTGAACTGTATATTAACACTGTTTACCCACAAAAACCATTAATCTTGTGACTGTCTTACAGTACATGCTAACCTTCTTCAGATGGTCTGGAAAGGAAGCAAAAACAGAAGCGACCACACATTTGCCCAGTTCTGTCAAAATCATCTGCCTTGAAATGACAACTACAGATAACTGTGGTATCATTAGGCTCAAGATTTTTCCATCGGACAGCTATGGGCCAAGCTTTCCTTAATCCGGGATCTATAGGGAACCTTTGACAAAAGCAAGACCATGTTAAAATTACTTCTGGCATGTGGATGAATGGTGTAGTTAGCACATTAAGCTAGCACGCAAATACGTTCCAGCTGACAGTTTTATATAAGTAAACTGTACAGTGAATGAGGTCACTTAAGTTCATTTTCGGGATAGTCTAAAGTTAGCGTTCATGTTCACTATGTTACAGTAAAATACAATAAAATTGCCACTTATTTGTGAAACGTTATCCCATGATGCCTGTTTTCATGGTTTGCCTGTTGTGTGCAGCATTTGAGGCTATAGTCTGCTGCATCTTTCCAAGGTCTTTACTACCAGTGAGTAGCGAGTTCACTGCCCCAGTATGGCGATGGCACAGGCGCACGTTCAGCCAGTAATGCGTTACCTACCTTTTAAAATATATGATATATGAGATGTAAAAGGCCCAGACGAAATGATGGGGTGATGATCTGGTCATTTTTCAAAATAAAACACCCTGCAGGCTCCAACAGTCCATAAAATGGAAATAAAATTAAAAGTTTTTCATTCTTTCTGTGCAGCCTGGTACCAAATGATCCATGGCCCGGTGGCTGAGGATTATTGTTATGCCGGACGACATTTGTTTTTAATCTCTCTGTTTGGTCTTCCAGGAAAGCAAAGCCCCAAACTCCACCATAAGACCACAAGCCCATAAGCATCCAGGCGATCTAGTTTCTTCTAATAGAAATGGCTAATAGTAGGTGGCTTAGTGTAGGATCGCGCTCTTGAATTTGAAATGTAATCTCTGTACCGAATGAGGTTCTTATTGGAATTATATTCCTATGTCTGTATTTATGTAAAGAACTGTGTAATTTGGTCTTTTACCGTATGCCTGTTCGCAGCATACAGTACTAATGCTATGTGCCATTAGGTTTGTTTTTGTAAAGCCTTGAAGACTACAAGTAAGGATTCCCCAGAAGACACAACATTTCACCCGTTGCAATTAAGTATATAGAAAAAATGGTCTTTAAGCAGTGCACAAGGGGGAAGCTGTTGGATTAATTAAACATTACAGTGATGCTCTGATTATCTGATGAAGTGTGAAAAACCCAAGAGTCTAACACAATATTCTCTGCTTCACTGCCCATAAATGCCTTTAATTCCGTATAGAATTGGCGCAATGTTCAGCTCCGTAGGAGATATAATTACATTCATGAGCAGATCACCTTAGAATAGAGGAGGAACCCAGACCTCTTCTGTATCTCATCCGGTCAGTTCCAGTAGGAGTTAGTGTGTGGCTCAGCAGGTTAGGACTCTGTACTTTTGATCAGTAGGTCGCTGGTTCAAATCTCACGGTTTACGGAGTGATGTCACTGTTGGGCCCCTAAGAAGGCCTTTAAACCCCAGTTTCTCCAGGTTCTGTCTGACCCTGCTTTCTCAGCTATACATCAGCTAAAGAAGCAAATTATTTCATTGGTTTAACATTTCACCGTGTTTGAAATGGTTAAACATTTAAAATGGATTGCAGCATGTGGTTGGCATTATTGTCACCCCCTATTGATTTCTGCGTTGTAACTACGGCTGGCAATAAATCTTAGCATAGCTGCTTGAAATCTTGAGATTTATTGCCTACTATGCTTTTAGTTGTTTTTGCAGAACATCAATTTGTCCTCCAATCGAGGGAGGGGCACTCTTGCTGGCAGGCACTTAGCGGGATTTCAAGGTTAATTAGGAAGTACAGGTAATATCAGGCTGTGTCCCCCTTGTACAGTGTATCAACCCAACGTTGCTGTCCACGCTTCAGGTGGTGGGACAGCTGCAGGGGTTTTTTTACCACTGGTGCCCTGGCTGTCATTGCTAACTCTTAACTGCCTTCACTGGCACTGAAACAAACCTCTGGGGTTCACTTTGAAGCTAGACAAGTAGAGTGAAATACTTAAACATCTCCAGGGCTCTCTCCAAAATAAGACTTGTTAAAATGCATTGTAATCTGCCTTCAGGTGCTCTACCAAATAGTGTGTGCAGAATTTCAGACATCCACTGCCACCGGAAGATGGGTGCAGTGCTCGATGTGAAGTCTTACTCATCAGTCATAAATATTTATTCAGCTGATAGCAGATATTTTCATAACCTGAAAATGCAAGAGGACTCACCTGCAACTCTGTTTAGGTGCTACCTTCAGAGTTAGCTGTTGTGTGGCCTATTTGGAATTGAAAAATCGGGGTGTTCTTGAGAATGGCTCCTAAAATGTGATCTGATCATTATCTAAATTAAAGTCGTTGCCTTGACACTGTTTACCTCGTATAACTATTAAGTGGCATCCTTGTTGCTCTCTATATATTTTTGTTGGTATTTGTGAATATGTACTCTGGTAAGTGAATGCATTTCATGGTATTCTGATAGCCAGGTGTAGCATAATAATGTAGTTCATTGACCTGTTTGTGCTGAGAGATTGTATCCTGTTCGAGCCTGTTCTCGTTATGCTTCCTCTTAAACTGACTTTAGGTTAAATCTGAGTGCAGAAGCTGAATCTGTAGACAGAGAATCTGTAAAAGCACCAGGGTTTCTGCCATGAAACAAACGTTTGAATGCATCTACCTGATATGGCACCGTTTGTTGCATCCTACTGCGCCAAGGAGACAATGTGTCAAATCCCCTCCACGTCACCTCGCCAAGACCACAGTGCCGTTAAGCACACTGATCGCGTTCCTGCTTTCAAATGACAGCTTCCTCTGGCTTACTCAAGGTAAAACAACTGAAAAGCAAGACCGGCAAAAACTAACTCTATATTTTTGCTTCTACATTGTTGACGTTTTACTATATGTTCGCTTATATAAATGTATGCAATACTTTGTTCAACTGTCAATGGGATGTCAAGTTTGTAACTAGTTTTTTTATCTTTATCTTTACAACTCATTGATTTTTGATTTATTGATTTATTTCTTAGTTAGGACTGAATGTTGAGTGCATTACACGAATTGTTAAAAACCCCCATGAATTTTAAGATGGTTTAAATGGCTTTTAATACTTAAGGTTTGCATGCTGTCGTGATGCCCAGCGATGAAAGCAGCCTGTGGTTTGACATCTGCTCCTCTGAGCGTAACTGCCTCCTGCAGCGGATTTTCTCACTGAGCCGTCACCCCCCAACTAGAAGCTCCTTGTCCCACTCACCTTCATGGATTACAGCTGAAATGACACTTATTTTTAAAGGTGACATTTGCTGTGCCTCGTTTTCAGGATGGCCTTTTCAGAAAAATCCTCTGACTCGCCAGAATTTGCTAATCGCTAATTCCAGTTTAAATGTGTAAATGGGAAAACTGAAAGGCAGACTTATCACAGCATCAGCAAGACGATGATGCTGATGTTCAGTACCATCTCTGCGAGTAGCAGCAGCATTACAGATCCGTAACAATTTATTACTGTTTATATATCAAACTTGGAGACATTTTACATCACGGAATCATGGATAAGGAGCCCTTGTAATTGATTTAGCAGATTTTTTTGGAGTGAATGAAGGTCATTCTATACCTGACACCTGAGGTCTGGTTTCACACTAACCAAAAGCTTTCAGTGATTTTAATTCAGGAGATAACCTTCCCCAGTTATTTAAAGCGTATAAAACCTTTCTGATTGCTGTTTTTCCCAGTTATAATTTGTCATTATAATAATGCTTCTTTTCATTACTTCATGATTAATTATCTAATTTGGAAGTAAACATTTTGGGTTTTTTCTGATGATTTTGCTCTGGTTCACTATTATTTGAGATTTTTTCTCATCTAAGCATGGGAATTTTACATTACAATCTACTATTCAGCACTCAGTGTGTGAAACATAAAAGTATGAATGGATTAAGGATGTATGATGTAGTATTTAGCCTGTGTCATTTTTGTGGAATAATAATAGAATGCTTTATTCTTTCTGTGGGAAACTGTTTTTCCCTGTTCCGTCCTGCTCTCCGTGAGGCACACCAACTCGTATTCAAGTGAAAGCAAGCTTCGGCGGTCACAGTGCAGGGTCATCCAGTGTTCAGCACCCCTGGTGCTGGAGGTTAAGGGCCTTGCTCAGAGACCCAACAGTGGCATCAGTCTGCCAGCCATGGCATTTGAACCGGTGACCTTCTGACCCCTAGTACAAGGTCCTCACCTGCAGAGCTGCATGCACTTTATCACAAGGGGGTTTTAAGTATGTTGTTTTTCAGTTAGTCTTTGGTTTGTTGTTCTTCCAACCCGCAATGATTATTTTTAATTGTTTAAATATAATAGTGAAGTTTGTGCTTTAGTAATGATACAGCAGGAAGGAAGCAGACAGCAGATGGGCTCTAAACTCCAGGTGTTGAGCTTGATCACGGTGCATTTTAAGAAGGCTTTTCTTGGAGAGAATCCTGGACCACAGAGATGGTGTCTCTAGGTCCAAATGAAGATCAGAACAATGCCTGGAACGCACCACATGAGCACCATATGCAGATCCCCGATTCCTGCACACGGCATTTAATCCGAGGAGACTGACAAACAGGATGTGTTCAGTCACGATCTTGCTGCGTTTGGTTCTTCGACGATGGCCGTGTTGTCCCTGTCCTGGTTGGCTGCCAGCCTCCCCCACCTCCCTAAGCCCAGCTGGTACCTAGTGTCTGTCCCCAAGCTTCCCAGGTGGCTGGAAATGCGAAGGCTCAGGAGAAGCTGGCTGAGAGGCAGAGCCGGCTGTAGGGGACCTGCCCGTCCCCCAAAGGCACCATCGGGCCTCTGTACACTGCAAAGTTTGCAGCGTGTTCCGCACATGACGCTAAACACTGCTGCTTCTGCAGTGAAGGATCGTAACACGACTGGCTGCGCTTTCTCGAACCCTGGCTCTGGATAATCGCAGATGCCCTCAGCTGTGATGTGTCCTTGACAGGATTACTCTTTAACGTGGCATTCTGTCCTATGTGTGCGAGTGGTCACCTCTGCATACATTGTGGGTTCTCTGTCACTATCAGTGGTCAGCCACGATTATTTTAGTCACCACTTAGAAGAGATGTATGCAGTGAAGGTGTGTTACTGTGCCTTTAAGAAGAAATCTTTCGCTATGCTGTCAAACTAAAGCAACTGTATTACCTTGTAGAAGATGGAGAAGGGAGATGGGTGTGTGCTTTATGGAATGTCGCTAGCCATTCCAATCCAGCTTCTGAAGTAATCCCTGTACAAATGTGTTGATAATATTTGAAGCCATGTATGCAGAGGGATAGAAAATTCAGCAATGATGCAGCAAATAGGTTTGCACCCCCTCCCCCCAAGAAGCCTATTTATTTGAATTCTTTTTTTTTTGTCAAAGACTGAAAGAAGTGCTTTGACTTCAGCTGCTAAGAATTAGCATCCTAATAGAATTGGGTGATTGATGGATCAAATTAGAGCAAACGTATTAACATCAGAGTACGCACCAGCAATTTATTTGTCTGGGTGACGGCCTTGTTTTCTCATACTGAGTCATTGTGAGGATCCTGAGAGCCTGCAGGACCTTAAATTCAGCAGATTAATCGATCTGAACTAAAGGTTTAATGTCCCTGCCAATCTCTCAGCAATTATCAGAACACAATTGTAATCTTGCTTTTTATACAGGAAGCATTATATAGCGTGTGTGCTTGCATGTGTATATGTATGTATGTATGTATGTGTGTGTGTGTGTGTGTGTGAGAGAGAGAGCGGGGGGGGGGACAAGTATATATTACATTGTATATATCAATTATATATTACAACTTCATTTATTAATAGAAAAAACAGCTGCATAATATATTACATATGAAATATGTATGAATGCAATCAAAAAACTAAAATTCCCAAAAATCTTGTATTTTGTTTGGTTACTTTTGGTCAAGGTTAGGGCTGGGTAGGGGCTACAGTTATGTCTGTAGAAATTAATGGAGAGTCCCCACAATGACAGAGATATATGAACTTTGTGTGCGTCTCTTCCTTTAACTCTGGTCATCCCATAATTTTAAGCATGCATATCTCTGGTATCCCATAATTGTAAGCATGCATATCTTTATTCAGTATAGACATGCCTAAAGATCTATGTAAAAAATTGTGCTAAAGCATCTCTGTATTGTTTTGTTCACAGTGGAGTTCCAGCACCTCAACCTGGCATCTCTGAAATCCGTCCGCCAGTTTGTCCAGGCTTATAAGAACCGAGCACTTCCACTGCACGTCCTGGTCAACAATGGTAATTACTATTATTTTGTAAATAATAATAAATAAAAAAAACATACATTTACTTGCTTGGCCAATGGTTTGTGTAAACAATTTACAATCCGTGTTACTTTATATGGCTTGCTGTTGTGCTGGAGGGATTTAGATGAAGAAACATGTGAATTACAGGAACAAGTAGTCTTCAGATTATAAATGTGTTTAATCACTGTGGTATGTGCTGAACCATTGAAAGTTATGGTTTGATTCATTAGTTAATTAAAAACCATATTCATTTAAAAAAGTGCGTGTACATATACACTTTTTTTAAATGCACACACTCACAGAAACTAAACAAGTTGCCACACTCACACAGTGCAGGCAATTTAGAGATAGTGGTTATATTAACTGCATGTCTCTGGACTGCAGGAGGAAATCAAAGTATGAGACCATACAACACAAGGGAAGCACGCAAACTCCTCACACACCGAACAGACGTGCGATTCAAACCCCCAACACTGCAGGTGTGAGTCAGCAGTACTACCCATTGAACCACCAGTGTGCCCAAAATAATCCCCTATCAGAATAATTTAGTCATAATTTAATATTAACGTCAGTCATTTTTTTTTGATGAGGGTAATTCCCATGTGTAAGCGAAACTGCTGTATGTTTTCCATATTTTAGAAGCTGTGCTTATTTTATTTGATCTGAGAATAAGATACTCCACATTACGGAAGCAGTGAAGCAATTCATCCCTGTTTTGCGCTGATAGATAGGTAAATAATGCATATCATCATTTGCTCGTTTGTTAGCGAATATCTTGTTCCAATGATTGAGCCAGGAAAACAAGAATGGTGTGTGCGTTTGTTCCGCATTGGTGAAAGGCCCATTACGCGGAGGTGTCATTGACTGACCTTGTGAAGGCCCTACTGCATTTCTAACTATGCTGGCTAAATTCTGCAGTGCAAAATAGAGCAACTGAATATGCCTGTAGCAGAGAATAACAAATACAGCAGTATTTAGTCTCTCCATTTCTTATGTCTGTCTAAGGTGATATGTCTAAGCTTTTAAAGAGCCGTATTTATCAACAGCTACTCTATGACACCAATAACAAAAAAGAATTATTCTAGATACAGGCATTAATATATTATTAGTATTATTCCATGTGGATAAATGATTGTTTGTTTATTTTTGATGATGGTTTCATAAGTGTTTGAATTATTTTACATCCTTAGGCCAGAATTGCCAAAATCCCCCAGCAATTTCATTCGATTTTAATTAAGGACAATTGATTATGAATAAAAGCATTTTTCATTTAGCAATAGAAAAACAGCTGCATAATCCTGATTATACACCTGTTTGTTATTTGCCAGAACTATATTATGAACAGAGCAGAGATTAATGATGTTCTTTGGCATCAGTGGGCAAGCTTGTGTGTGAAAGGAATGGAACTCATCCAATATGAAAATGTTGTCTCCAGAACCCTTTTTAAGTGGCTAAAAGTTCTGATAAGTGATAATATCAAGCAGTATGATTTAATATGGTTAATATAGTTAAGCAGTGCTTCACTGATATGGTTATTTCAATTTCTCAAACTCAAACATCAGATATACACAAAATTATACAAATATAAAACAGGCGACATAAGTAACCTTATAACCTTATAAGTAATAGCATGAATGCTTATAATGTGGCGATTTTTAAACAAGAACATTTAAAGTTTATTCTCTGTTGTACATGGCAAAAGCACCTTCCAAATGAACTGTGTTCATGCTAGGGGTTGGTTTCCCCTGTCAGACATGATCCATGAGTCATTGTGAAAAAGATGCAGTCATAGATGTAATGTTTGGATATGCTTTGATTCAACAATGGTTCGATATGTTTCCATTCATTATGAATCAGTTCAATTAATGTTGTATAGGATGCGATTTAGATCAAGTTAGTCGTCAGTGTACTGTAATGCCCTACTTTTGAAGCAAAAACAGCTGTAGTTCAAATCAGGTCACAATGTTAATTTTCCATAAGATCCTAACAAAATATTTCAATAACATGAGGTAATATGACACAACAAGTCTATAGTTTTTTGACAGCTTTATCAGTTTATCAGTTTTTTGGCCTATTTCTTCTAAATTTAAGCTAGGTTTGCGGTTTTTGAATTGATTCAGCTGTATTGTTGACAGCTAAACCAGATTATTAATTCAAAATTACAGCCTTACTGTTAAACCTAAAATTCTAAATATTCCAGAATTTATGTCGGGTATCAGGAATAAAACAAAATAAGACTTCTGTGTTCATTCATAGCCGCTTATGAGTTACAGCAGGGGTGGCCAATCTTATCCGCAAATGGCCGCTGTGTATGCGGGTTTTCACTGCGACTCCCTTATTAGAATTAAAGGACTGACTGGCTGAAGAGTCCTCACACCTGGGTTTGAACAGCTGACCTAAAGGTTACCCCAAAAACCTGCACACACACCGGCCCTTTGTGGATAAGATTGGCCACCCCTGAGTTACAGGGTCACAGTGAGCCTGGCACGCAGGGCACAAGGTGGGGACACCCAGAACTGCAGTCCACTCCATTGTAGGGCACATAATGACACACAAAAGGAACTATTCTGACCATTTATGTCTTTGTTGGGGTTTTTTCTCCCCAATAAGAGGCAAGCGTAAGATGGCTATCTAGGATGCTGCAAGGTTTTAAAACTCTTTGCCTTTGCAAGTATGGCATCTGCAGTCCTTGTGTAAGTATGGCAGCTCAGAGGGATTCAGGCAAAGGCGCTTCACTCTCGCCTCTCTCGCTCTCACAGCAGGCGTTATGCTGGTTCCCGAGACAAAGACTCAAGACGGCTTTGAGCTTCACTTTGGCCTCAACTACTTGGGCCACTTCCTGCTGACTAACCTCCTTCTGGACACCCTGAAGCAGTCGGGAAGGCAGGACTCTTTCGCCCGAATCGTAACCATCTCCTCGGCTACGCACTATGTGGCGGATCTTGACCTTGAGGATCTCCAGAGCAGGTAAACATTCAATTTAATCTCTGCAGTAAGGAGCCCCAGACATCTTAAGGGAGACGATATCTCCTGTTTTTTGGAAGATATTTTTCTCCATTGAAGTATCTAAACACCCTGCAGGACTAACTCTGTGACATCACAGAATCCATTAAAAATATTGATTTTCAAATTATGATACTCAGGGGAGGGCGTTTCTGAGCAGCCTTGTTTAAAATTAAATTCATACTCTTTGTGTTTTGCTTTTTTATTTTATTTTTTAAAACAAAATCTCAGTACAAGTAGTGATTACATGCGACTCCCACTTGATTGTGTGTCTGCTCCATCTACATTGGCGAGGGGGGGGGGGGGGGGGCAAATGTTATTCTAACAGGAAATGTTGACTGAAACCCCCGTTATTCAATATACTAATGAGATGGTATGTTTAGTGTTCGAAAAACCTCTTGAAATCAGATACAGCCAAATAAAGCTATGCACAGTATTTTTCATATTGTATAGGATTCAGTATTTTCAGTAAGATTGTATAAAACTACCCACACAAGCACTTAATATAATACAAACTAAATGAATAAATATCTAAACATCAACATCCGTTTTTCATTTCAGTTTAGCTAACAAAGTATCATTCTTTGTTCCCTGTTAAATTGCACCTCTCCCCTGAAAACCATAGAACACTATAAAAATGAAGCCCTTTTTAAAAATAATTTGTAGCTCAGGGCTGTTTTTGTGTGAAATTAGTAGAATTTTATTTAATATGCCCTAAAAAAAATCAGGTAATTCTGAAAAAAGGCACACTGTGTAAATGGGAACTCCAAACCGCATCCATTCTAAATAGTGAAATTGTCTCCCCTCAATGCAATCGTCCCAAAACTTTTTTTTGGTACAGTAGCACTCGGGTGTCGGCTCCTCTCTTGTTCATGTGTTTTTTTTTTGTAGATCGTTGCCTGAAGCAGGCCGCTCTTCAAGGTTATTATGATGGTGGGGGGGTGGGGGGTTCAGATGAGTAATCTATGGAGGAGGGAATCTCCCACCCCTCCCACCACAGAAAAATTCTGCCTCCAAATATGTTTTTGTGTTCTTTATGTTGGTTGGTCTAATTATTTTTACAATAACCGTTGCCGAGTTACTTTTTAATTACTAAACGAACTAAACGTCATCTTAGTATGAAATGTTTATACATTTTTTTTTTCTTCGCAAGTCACTTGTATTTTTTCTTGTCTTTGAAAGGAGTTATTAATTATTTGACTCTCCCCTACGTATCAGGATTACAGGAATTTCCAATGCACTTGTGAAATCATGATTTTGTACAATTTTTTCTATTATGCAAGCACTGGATCAGCCCAAAATGTCACAAAGATTGTCCAACACTGGTTACCCCATCACTAACGGGACGATTCCCCAAGTAATCCTCCGCAAACAAGCCACACTAGGATTCTAAATGCAGGATAAAATTTATTCACTAGGGAAGAAATCAAATTAAACTGAGACAAAGAAAATCCGACGACTCGCGTCTTCTCAGCCCTTTATGTGAAATGGTGTTCTCTATAGGCCTCTGAGTGACGCGCGGAGCTGAAACACCCTCCACCAAAAATACGGCAGGGTTAGCAGAATCAAATCTGCTAATTAGATGTTTCATGAAGTGCCGAGTCTTAAATCTAAACGATGTGGATGTTAATTAGCTGTAATTATGCTGCCTTGTGCTGTGCATTGCGGATGCTTTCTGACAGCTTAGCAAGAGAGCACCTGTTAGCAGTCGGTCGATTCCACCCCCCGCCCCCACGGCCGCATCATCAGCATGCGTACGTCCACCAGTAGAAATTGGTCTTGGACTAGAGCGTCTATGGTTCGGATTCGTAATTTTAAAGCGAGACACAACACTTTTTTTTCCTCCCCCCACAACAATGTAGGGCTGGGCAATGTAAACGATATATCGATTCATCGCAATACAGAATGTAAACGATATGAAAATGGGAAATTCAACATTGCTTGATAACTCACATCAAGGTGGTGGTGTGGCAGTAGTTTGGTAATTTACACTAGGACATGCAAACGACTGACACTGTGTACTGTAAACTCAGCCAAAAGTTTGTGCCAACTAAAACTAGTACTGCTAATTTAGTTCCCCCAGTGAAGCATTGCCATAGAGAAGAACATAAAGAATGCGAATTCTGACAGTCACATCAGTGTTTTCACTTTCAACCTGAAGAATTATGAGACAAATTGCGTCCCATACTGGTTCAAAATGGGACATGGCCCCCTGTCCATCAGTGTGGGATGGATGGCAACTGCACTGGCAATGTGTAAACCGCCCCCTGGAATGAGCAGTGAGGTAGTCAGCTGTGTGTGTGTGTGTGTTTATTTACTAAACTTACATTTAAGTTTGCAGTCCATTCACTTTGATGCTGTTTGTCATGTTCTGAATCTGTTTAAGGGGAATCCCAAGGAAATTTAAAGCAACAATGGAGCCTTGAAGAGATGAAATAATGACTTGAATTATACCGTGGTAATTAATATCGACTGATATAAAATTATTGCGATAAAAATATTTTACCACATCATCCAGCCCTACCTATCATCTTGAAATAATGATAAAATAAAATTTAATTAAAAATAAGATATTCACTTCATTGTATTGACTGTATAGTGTTCTTTTATTTTATCTTGTCTCTGAAAAGACAGCCCTAGAGTGCAACTCAGGTCAGGCCAGGTTGGGGAGCGTGCGTTGATGCAGCGCGTTGCCACACCCACCACACAGCAAAACTCCCGGCCAGCGACCCCCCCAGGCAGATACATGGTCCAGTCCCCCCCTCCAGATATGACCATCCATCTGCCACAGCCAGGTGTTACATGGGCGTCCCCTTGACCTGGTCCAGCCGCTTGGGTCCCCAGCAATGAGGATCCCGCGAGCCGGATCACCCTCAGGGAAACACACCACATGGCCTTAGTGCCGTAGTGCAACTCTACCTTAGAAATCATTTCAGAACGGACATGATGTCAATTTCTCTTCTGTTCTGAGTAGAGTCCCCACCACTCCTACTGTATATTACAGTGAAAATTCTAGGGGGTCTCGTTCCCATCACTACTGGAAGGGTTAGGCTTCTGTGCCCGTGAGTGGAAGATCGCTCTTCAGAATAGTCACATTGCTGACTTCACGCTTACCTGTGTGTGTCTTAGTGCATACTCACACCTGGCCCAGTTGCTTTATACTATGACCGAGCATAATTGTTCCCACTCCCCCACTGGTCTGCGCTCATATTGCGCTTAATCTTCCAGGCGCAAACACGCTTTCGTCATCACCATACGACTTTTTGTGTTGAAGAAAATGTTGGAAAAAAACCGCTGTCACACGACACAATGGTGTTTGATTAATGTCCTTATTTTGTGGCTTTTCTGCGGTCATTTTGGTTGCGATGACACATAGTCCCCTAACAGATTTATCAAGTCCCCAATGCAGCTATTTTTATTCGATCGTGCCGCATGTATAAGCAGTCCCATATTTGACCAAATATCTCAGTTTTTGAGTATTGCATCCAGTTGTTTAAGGATCGTCTCATCAGCCCTTTGCCCCCATGTCTGTTAAACGGCCAGCTGCGTGACTGATGTCATGTCTGAGTTAGGGGTTGCACGGACTAGTCGATAAGTCAACTTTACTCCTCTGCGATGACGCTTTAAGCTTGACTTCGACTAATCGCTGATCATGTGATTATGACATTAAACACATGAACACCTCACAGAATACCAAAGAAGTATAAAGAGTGCAGCAAAAACTTGGGCCCTATTCTTTAAGAGTCAAATGTGCTCAGGCACGATATGGATGGTGTAGTGTGAGTATACCCTTAAAGGAGCATAAGGTGGGATATACGTAAAGGAAAGATTTCCTGTGTACACTACAGGCCAGTCCTGGGTTCGGTCCTGGGTCCCGGGTCCTGGTCCCGTTCGCACGCTCTCCCCGTGTTCGCATGGGTTTTCGCCGGGGGCTCCGGTTTCCTCCCACGGTCCAAAAGTGTGCAGGGCAGGTTTATTGGTGTGCCTAAGTCGGCCCTGTAGTTGTCTGAGTGTGAGTGCGCGTGCATCACGCGGTGTGTTGGCAGCCGCCCAGGGTTGGTTCCTGCCTGCACCCATTGTTCCCGGGATAGGCTCTGGTTCCCCCCGTGACCCCAGTTGGGATTAAGCGGTTTCGGAAATTGGATGGATGGATGGATGGATGGATGGATGGACTACAAGCCAGAAGTTTGGTCCCAGCCTTGGATTAAAAAAAATAATAAATGATACACTGCTTTCACTTTGTGTTGAAATTCTATTTGCTAATGTCAGAACTTCACTTGCTCTTGGCCTTACGTGATTGTGTCTAAATAAACAAAATGATAGTCACTCGTCTGCCTGGTCCCAGATCAGTTTGTGAGAGGCTTAATGCACTATCTGCTCCTCATTTCAATCTCCTGTTGTACTGTATCACAACTGATACATCAGAATTTTTGAGAAATATTTCTTGTTTTGATGTTTATAATGGCTTGAAAGGTACAGCTAACAATTGATCAGAGGGCTCAGATCAATATTTTGAGTAAAGAAGAATTCTCTCATCGCCTAACAGCCAAAAAGTTAAATGTCTCAAAGCATGGAGTGATCTACTGTTTACAGAGAAAAAGTCAGACAGGAAGCATTAGTGACCAGAAGCGGTCTGGAGTAAGGAACGTGACATCAAAAGCACGCACTTGTGATGTGCAAAAGAAATCAGAAGGTGACTGCAGAGGGCTGAGGGTTGTGATTAATGTGAACAGAGGGAAACCTGTTTCTCTTATTACAGTCAAGCAAAGACTGAGAGCAGCTGGACGGCAAGGTCGAGTTGCTGCCAGAAAACCTTCCCTTCATGGTGTTAATAAAAAAAAGAGAAAATAGGCTAAATAACATAAACACTGGAGTATTCAGGACGGGCAGCAGGTCTTATGGACGGATGAAAGTCCATTCATGGGATGAGTTGACCAACAAGTTCAAAGTGAGCGTCTATAAATGAGACAGAATTGTTTGCACGCTTGAAAAGGTGCTGGGAGGGTTTGGGCACAAGTTATTTCCTGAAATTGCTGAAAAGGATTCTGAATCTGTGCTGCTGTGATAAAGGCAAGGGGTGGTTATTTTGATGAAACTTGTGCTTAGCTACTCGTTTTCATTAAATTGCACGTACAAGGTGCTGTAAATTGCTACAATACATTTAAAAACCAGTCAGTTACATTTGTTATAAGAATTTCTAATATTCTCTTGTAATAAGTTTGAAAAACAGTGTGTTGGGTTTTTTTTTTTTTTTATTGGAGGGTGGGCCCAACCTTCTAGTCTGTAGTGCACCTCTACATGCACAGATGGCAAATAAAGCATCATTTCATAACCATATGACCTCCTTGGCAGGTTGTAACCTTGTTTACCAAACATGTTTCATACAGACCTGTTGTTGCTACTTTTTCTAAAGCTCTTTTCAGAAGGTATCCTCTTTGTCTGCATTGTACCACAATGCATTTATAACTTAAAATAGTGATTCAATTCACCTTTGTCTGATTTCTGTCTCAGGTCCTGCTACTGTGCCCATGGCGCTTATTCTCAGAGCAAACTGGCACTGGTCCTGTTCACGTACCGCCTGCAGGAGGAGCTCACTTCCCAGGGCTTCCCAGTGACAGCCAACGCTGTGGACCCAGGCATGGTGGACACTGACCTCTACCAGAACCTGTGCGGTCCCACTCAGCTGCTCAAAAGGCCTGTGGCCAGGCTTTTCTTCAGGGTGAGGACGGCCGTCTCTAGGGTGAACAGCGACCCGCAACACCATGGTTTGGTGAAGGCAGAGGCGGGCAGCTCAGCTTTGTGATGTTTTATGAGTGTTTCATGCAGCATGTATGGAGACAGCAGATACTAAAGACCATCGAAGGGCGATTTTCCAAGCTTTGTATTCATATGAACCAAATTTTAATCTCTGAAATCTGGATTCAATTTCCTGTGCAGCCATACACTGCATAAATATTCAGAAGGTTTCCTGGCACTTATATTTCAGTGAGATGAATTGTCTTCATTATGGTTGTTTTTTTACAGGTATTTATAGTAAAATATTCTTTTATGCTGTCAAAAGATAGATTATAGCTTAAAGTTTTGTGGAAGAGATGAAAATTGAGGAAGGACTTGCAGATACTAATGTATCGACATGAAATACTGTTACATTTATTTTGGAAGTAGTTCAAAAAACAGTCTGCATACACATATTCTCGAATACCATCTTGGCTCCAATAAAGTCATTGAGCCAAACTGGAGTTTGTATTTCCCATCTGGACAGAGAGCTGGGCGAACTGGTAGATTCATGTATTAGTAATTAAGTGGGCTGTTACACAGTGTCAGGGAAGAGCAACTCCAGTAATTTCTACCACAATAGATGCAAAATGAGTCATGAGCGATTTAATCTAACCCAAAACTCACAAAACGCACTCTGGCTATTCCCCCCACAGCAGTGTTTATTCAGGCCTTTTTGCATTAGCTTCACTATACGTCTGCTGTCTTTGAAAAACAGGAAGCAGGTGTAAATAATAATCGACTTGATGCTGCTTGCTAGAGGCTCCAACATATTGGTCCCAGTTTTGTTTGTGTACTCGGGCCGTGGCACAGTGGAAGGCGGTTTGGCACAGCTGCTTCCACACTGCTGTTTATTTCCGGCTGTTTGACTACATTTATTTATTTAGCAGCCACTTTAATCCAAAGTGACGTGAAATTGAGAACACAGGGACTGCCGGTCCCTGGAGCAGTGGGGTTAAGGGCCTTGCTCAAGGGTCCAGCAGAGAGACCATTCTGTCAGCCGTAGGATTTGAACCGGCGCCCTTCCAATCGCAGAACAGCTTCCTAATCCGCCGTACACTGCCCATGCAAACGTCTGTCAGAAGTAGGGTGTGATCCCATGCTATTCAATGGCCAGAATCCCCATTAGTTTGGAAGGTTGTTCACCTTGACTACCCCAGACCACTCACTTTGATTACCCAAAAGATTCTAAACTCCATGTTTCCTCAAAGGCAGAAATCAGGAGGGAGTGATTTTATTAATCATTGTATGGTTCTCATCCACCATTCAGAGCTCAGGCCTATTAAACCCGATGTTTGCTACATAGCTCACTGAGGAAAACTGCAATGGCTTTTGAATTTGACATTTTTTACCGGACGTATTTGTCTTTTCCCTTGCCCAGACCCCAGCCGAGGGAGCCTCCACGGCCATATACGCCGCTGTCGCCCCCGAGATGGAGGGGGTGGGCAGCTGCTACTTGTACAATGGACAGAGGACACGCTCTTCAGATGCCTCCTATGATGAGGACCTGCAGGTCCAGTTGTGGAGGCTGAGTCGTGCTCTCGTGGGCCTCCCAGTCGAAGGGAAGAGAGCAAACTGAGCAAACCTCCCCCCCCCCCGAGCTCTGCTGTATCCCCTCGGAGAGAGCCTGCTTTTTATCCGCCAACACAAAAGAGGAGCCCCTGCCTATTTTCCCCTCCAAAGCTTTCAACTGGAAAGAAAATAACAGCCTGGTGAGGGAACTCTTTAGCGGTCTGAATTCTGCCAAATCTGCCATATTGGAGCATCCGCAAGCATTCACCATCCTCCAAACATGGTGCAATTAGTCTGCCGGAGATCTACAGGTAGACATGGAACACTGGTACTTTGGACCCCCATTTAAACCCCATTTTAACCCCATTTTCTTTAACGCCCCCCATAACCATTTCAATTCCCTCAACTGGTAAAACTTAAAGAACTAACCCATGTAACAGAAGGTTGTATTTATTGATTTATAATCCTTGTCCTTATCACTTGTGCACTGTCATAAAGTGCTCATGGCTGCCACCAGACCTAAGAGTCTCCTTTGTCCGTTGGCAATCAACGTATGTTGACTGTCCCCTCTGCCTGTTCATGGGTGATGTTTTTATGAATGAAACCCTGCGCATTCATAGTTACTGTAATGCCCAGCTGTGGTTTGCGTATTCATGTGCTCTGTGGCGACATTACTTATGTTCTATCTGTGTAAGGTCTTGCTTGTACTCCAGCACGCTTTGTCTGCATCAGCTGCCTCCGAGATGCATTTTACGCAAGTCATCTGATGACATCAATGGATTGCTTCAACCCGTTTTTACTGTGGCGAGGAATAAAGCTAACAATAATTAGCAGATGCTAAGCTCTATGGGGCTACCTCGCAAGTCCTGCTTTGTCCTTGAATCAGGTGCAAGAGTTCCAATAACATTGAGAAGTATATATCTTGTGTAATTTTTGTGTCGCTCTTGACAGAAATTTTCCCGCGGACGCTAAGCTTGTTTGTTGTTTTGATGTCTGAAATATCATTGTGGATGCTACCTTTTGTTTGATGTGTATCCAGAACAATCCTTGTGAATATGTCCAGGCAATATGCAAAGTCAAATTCTTTACCAGTACCACTGCATCTGTTTGTTCAGTAAGATGGTCAGAAGACAAAATGGCACTTCAGCATCAGCTTTCTGTTCTGTGTTTCAATGTTTTTGGTTGATTATGATGCACTTTGATCATGGCACATTCCTTACGTGATTCAAGTCCAGAAATTGATTAAAGATCCGTATTTCCCAGTGCTAGAGATCAAAATAAAGACTTTACTATGGGCCGTCTGTGTGTTTTGGTATAGCAGAAGCAGCCAATGTGACCCAAAACAAGGCTTGTTGGAAATGGCCATTTAATTAGAACAAACATGAAGGATAGGGAAAATATTGACTGTGAGACGTAAAACCATGGCCACTGTGAGTTACCTTGCATATCTCAGCACAGTCCTATCACACACAATGCAATTCAAAGCAAATATTTGACTGCCATGTCATTAGGTACTGCTGTAGTATATACTGCTCAAATATGCCTGGGACAGTGTGATGGCAGTTAGGAGAGTGTTCTATCCTCCGATACAGATGAAATAACCTGCAATAAAGCTGAAGTGATTTGCGTCTGCAGTTCTTCCTTGCCTTTGGATTAGCATGTCCTTTAAAAGCTTTTTGAGGCCAAGTAACCTTCTGCACAGTTATCTTGAAAGGTCCTTTCATTTGATCCTCAGGTTAAAAATACAATCACCTGGATTTATCACAGAAGCTGGAGTTCAGTAGCTGGGCAAGTTCCCCTGTTTTCCTCGCCGTTACGCTCAGCTGCTATTTCAGGTGTTAGTGTGGTGTTGATGTCATGAGAGACCCTCAGTCCAGCAGCCCCGAGGAGTGAGTTTAAGTCCCAGTCTTTAATAACTGAATTAACGGCAACTAATCTCGCACCACAAGATCACATTCATTCACCTCATATGTTGAACTTTCCTGGGTTCTTACAGGGCAAATTACCAATATACCAATAAAGAAAAGCTGTGAGCAGAGAATAATTGGCCAACAGTCAGCTAGTGACTGACAAACACCTGGGGCTTCGGCTTCCCACAAGCAAAGTCATTTCCTTCCCTGAAAATGTTTACATTGATTTAAAAAGAACAACAGTGAATGTACTTCAAAAAAAAAAAAACAATCATCATCGATAATTTTGAGACACCCATCACCTATATGTATACCGTACCTACCAGAAGATCAGCAGTTCGATTTCTGTGCACATTTGTTATTGCACATTTGTTACAAATATTAAATTCAAAATGTTAGGATAAAACCATGCATATACATTCCATACCCAAAAGAGAAGGAAAATTGGTACTTAAAGCAGTCATTATACTGCACTATCCATACCTTCATAATGTATTATTAGGCATTACTACAGTATTATAAAAACGGTCCTAACTATTTATAAAAAGGCATTATAGTCATCTGTATTATGCATAATGAATGCTTTATGAAGCTCTCGTCTATTAAGCACTATAGATACCTTTATAATGCAACACAAAGCATCCTTAATTCAAATTTTGAACATTATAATGTGTTATTAATGACTCCTTACCAGAAAATGTTATTATGAAACACCAGACATGGTTTTCAGCAGAAATGTTTTAGAGGATAGTATTGCTATAAAAGAATATTTTATAATTTCATAAACTAACCATAGGCCTTGAAGGGAAATCCCCACGCGTTAAGCTTCCATCTGGCAACAGTTTTCCTTTTTTCCCTCAAGTTTCTTGTGTTCTTAATAAATAATAAAAATAGATCTATGGTCAATAGCATTTTTTCATGCTATTCAATAAAGATACTGAAACATCTGAAAATGTTCACATGTTCAGTCCATTTTCAGTAAAGGCTCGGATAGCCAAAGGCTTACAGTTTAAAAACAGTCGTGCAGCAATGTGTCACATTTGAAGTGCAGCTGTTCTTTCACAACAAAAGACACATGTTTGAATTACTTGTTTACCACTTCTTTGCCACGTGAAATGCACTTTCTTTTAAGTGAACCAGTACTCAGATATGAATCATTTTAGCATGTGTCATTAAGGAAGTTAAGCCACGGTTTGTGAGATTTTACTGTAAACATGGAGCAAGTTCAGTAATCCAATTCTGAGTGTGATGTACTGCAGTACAGAGTCTCCATAATCCCATAATCCCATTATATGTATCTTTTATTGCCCGCAGCTCCTGGACAATTGAAGGAAACAGATATGAGTTCTTAGTGCAGACTTGGGTGCAATGTTGAATTAATGAATGTTAATTTTGGACCTAGTATTATCTAGGAAGCTGTCTTCAGTATATTTATGGTAATTATGTTCACAATACAAATGTACATGTGCATAATTTTACAGCATCAAGCTCCACTCTGTGCAGCACATGCCTAATTCCAGAAATTTCTATGTTGATTGCATCCACAGTTTCCTCTTTTTGTTGCCAACAGCAAGGGATAAAATACCTTTGAACTCAAAGTTCCAATTCTGAGATACTACTGAAGAAGTGCTTCAATTCACCCAGTACCTACTGCTGATATAAAGCATTTTTTCAGCATTTGAGGATGTTTTTCTTCCTGCTTTAACCAAGAATAGATTAAATATTGCGAATAAATTCTGCGGTCTCCACAATGATGTTTGCTTTTCTGCATTTGTCCTGAGAATACTTTTCTGTGCTTATTTGCCACAGCACAATTTTCTTAAGAACATTATTGTTGTTTGTAGTGAAGTGCAATTCATTACAAGGCAATATTAAGAAATTGATTGCAGTCATAGAAATTGGTTAATTTTTAATAAGCAATCAGCAGTCTGCATAGCGTACAGGTCATGTACTGCATACAACACTTGGGAACCTATCGGAGGGGTTGGTGTACAGCCGAGGCGGGAATCCAGACCGTCACAGGGCGCACACACTCACAATCATGCTCTACGGCCAATTAAAAGACACCAATTATCGTAAATACTGTACATGTCACTGGGCTGTGGTTGGAAACTGGATTAGCCAGAAAATTACAGGATGGGAAGAGCATGCAAACTCTACATAAACTGTAAGAGTGGAGGCATTATTATTATTATTATTATTATTGCTATGATAACTGGCTGCATTTTGGCTCAGTCGCTAGCAGAACTGTCTCACACAAGGTTTGGGTTTGAATGCCACATCGTCTGCGAGTGGAGGTGCTTGTTCCTCTCTCATACATCTTCTTCCTGCACTATAAACACTACTGTGTGTGTATAACTTGCCCACTGTATGTGTGTTTTTCTCCAGTGGTTCACTGACATCCTTATTCAAGGTGTCCAACAAATTACAATTAAATCCAAGCATGCGCATTGAAAATAATATGAGACTAGTCGTGAAGAAAGGAGTCTTGTGCTTCTTTTTGTCCCGTATTTCATCGATAGGCATATAAATGAAGTCTGCAGTTCATCCTGGGGACGTCAGTGTCTTTGGGAAATGCCCAAGTCTGTGTGCTCACTTGAGGGATTCTGTGTCCTCAGTGAACCTCCTGCAAAGGTGACTGCTTCCATTTATGTTGTTACGCAATGTGCTTCAGTGAAAATGAAAATAGCTTCATATCCTCCACTGCAGACTAATTATGTCCCTTTTTTTAATGAACCTCTATAAAAAATAAAAATTATATATATATATATATCTTGAAAATTGAAACAATAATAGCAAACACGGGTAAATGAAACACTTGCATCAAGTAATTTTGAGGGAAGTGACTCAAAAAACCTGGAAAAAAACATTCCATAAAATATTCCTATTTTCATTCAGAATAATGGAATAACTTCCCCTAATAATTGTCTCGGAAATACTCTTTACTGTTATTATTGATGTTGACTGCTGGAAACCATATAGACCCCCAGAATGTACTGACTTAAATCCAGATTTTCAGGCTTCCCTTTGCTGTGTTCACTGTTGTGACAGCTTTTCTTACATTTCCATTAAAATGGCTCCTTCATTTCCACAATTACAGCTAAAATTCAGCTATACTGTAAATTAATTTTACTTATTGCATTTATTTGGCAGATGTTTTTGTCCAAAGCAATGTACAAGTACGGATCACCGTCCCTGGAACAAATGGGAGAAAGGCCCTTGCTGAAGGGCACAACAATGATATGATTACTCTGCCAGCCATGGGATTTGAGCCCACGACCTTCCGGACATTGAACTACACCCCACAAGACTGGAACAAAAATTGTCCTTGGACTATATTAAACCAACTAGTTTTATTTAGCTGTTCCTGTCTTTTATTATTGCAATATTCTGTTTTGCATGTGTGTGTAAGTAGAACCTTACTGTTCACTACACTACAACTATTCTGAAGACTATTGAACTGTACTTAATTACCTACGTTGAGCTGTCTTAGAAATATTAAATATACTTGCTTTTGTTTATCATTATTCATGTTTACTGCTTAATATTAACTCTTTTATGTCGATCATTTGTTTTAATTTGAAGTGCTTTGGATTTGTCTATATCTTTACCTGGTTAAACAAGGGCTTTGGAGCACCTGAATAGATATACAGCAGCTATTATTGACTGCTGGATCAGTTCATCTAGGTTAACGTAGCAGCAGGAATGTGCCAGTGACTCTGATGAGAGTTCCACAGCTCACTACAGCCCATCACCATGCGACTCTCTGAGCCACCGTATGTCTCATACAGCTGAGGGCCCGAGGGCTTGAGGAATTCCTGCTTTCAAAACACCAGCCTCAAGGGCTTTCGTTTGAAAACCCTCAAATGGTTTGTGTTTAAATTTTTCTTTTTTTTTCCCTGATGTCCCGGAGGGCTGCACTACAGCTATATGAGTAATGAGCAAAGTGCTGGAGCCCATTCCCATGCATTATAGTTATGGCCCTTCAGACGGCTTTGCCCTGTCCATTTCAACCACCGGGAGAGCAGTGGAACAAAAGAGCTCCTTCCAACAGGGTAGACCAAGAGGCCAATCTGCTCAGAAGCAGGCCTGCCCACAGCATGGAGAGACATTACAAGCATGTTTTAGGTGTTAGAAATTTAATGCATCATTTTATCTCTTTATTCTCTTTGAAATTACTTATAATGAGCCCATTTGTGTGCATTGTGTAATTTGTTGAGATCACACAGAACAGAAGGACAGTAGATACTGAAGTTGAGCATTAGAAGCCATTTAGATTGTTCCCTGTCACCATTTTATTGTTTTACCCTTCATAAGTAACAGCTGTGACTGATCTCCCTAAACCATGTGGAAAAACACAGTCCCCCTATCTCATCTGAGTTATGAT